TAGGTCCTTCCTCTGTAACACAGAACAAGGCTACTGCTGCCTGCATTTCACTGGCGTTCACCCTGGAGTGTGTGATGGATCACCATCATGCTGAGAGGTTTTGCAGAAGGGCGGGCTTAGTCGCGCTGCGGTAGGGTCCTCCCAGCTACAGTAAAGTCAGTAAAAATTGGTGAAAGGTACAATCTCCTCCGCCTTCATGAAATGAGAAAAAGCTGATCCTCGGTGGTCACACAAACGGCAGCGACCTAAATTTAGCTTCGAGCTAAAAAGGACTTACTAGGGTCATTTCTTGACTCAGTAATATGGAACAGAATCGGTACGAGAATTTCGAGAACATCCGAAGTTTTCAGCACATAGAACATAAACTTCTGAAAGCGAAAATATACTTCTGTACTGATATGCACATTCACTCGAAATCATGACTATTTGTCAAGAAATAAATGACGTCATTGACGTCACGTAACACGTTAACGACGCGTAAAGTGCTAGATGGCACGTCATTTCTCAAGCCTTAACAGGTAGCGGATCTATGCTACACCTGTGCCTATACCATCAGTGAAGAAAATCCACGTACCTGGTTATATTCACAGCATTTCCACAATAAAACTAGTAGTTCTTGATGAAAATTAATCTTCTTAGCAGAATTTGGAAGATAAGTGGATTGCAGTGGATTACTCAGTAATCTTGTCATTCCCTGAAACACATGCGAAGTTCCATTCCTCAACATTCTCACAAATAAACAGCCGTTATGCTTACCTTCAGCATGAAGTCAAAATCCTCTTCACGGTGAATTCTTCCCAGATAATTTATAAAATAGTTGTCAGAGTAACCTGTTTCATCAGCTTGTGGCTGAGTGTCTTTGTCCAAGCAAGCAATTAGCACCTAATAAAGCGAAAACAAACATTAAACCTTATAGTATCACGGGATATGAGTAATACAAAGCCGATCAGGGCACTTCCTGCAATGGGGAGAATTTTGTAGACTACGACCACCCCTCCCCTATAAATCTGCACCTTTGCTACACCCCAGTTTTCCAGCCTACTCACCATCCCCTCTCCGGATTCTTCCAACTTCTTACCACTTTTCCCGGTTCCTCGTAAGTTTTTTTATCCGTTTTTTTTTCATTAACCGATAACATTCTTCTAAAGGCATACAGTACCCCTCCGTTCGGCAAGCAAATACGACCTCCCTCCGCTGGGGTTCCCCATGTGCGACAAGCCCTGAGCCTGATGGTTTCCGGTGTTTCTTCTGCTGGCTGAAAGACAATCCGCGGCGAGGAACCGAAAAAATGAGGACAAAATTGCGGAAGTTGGGCTCCAGTCCAGTTAGGTGTAGAGGAGACACGCGGCGGCATCGCTATTCCTTCCTTAGGCTCTGCCTCTGAAGAGCGCGGGCAACTTTCACTCGCTGAACAACAACGGGGTCAGCGGGGGAGGACCAAACAAGAGAAATAATGAATAAGAATAGCAGAGGCGATAACAAAGATCATATAATGTCGTGGTTTAAAAGACAACCAGACTAGCAGCAAGTAGAAAGGAACAAACCTGCAATGATACCTCAACCAGAGGTTCCCGATAGTCGTTGAAAAGCAAGTAGTTGTATGGCAACCCCAATCCAACAGGGTTATAGGCGCAAACGACGTTGAGGAGTGAGGTGAACAATGGTAATACATGGCGGTTCTCGACAGATGTGAAACGGGCGACCCAACGAAGACGGGTATCGTCTGAGAGAAAAAACACTCATTCATGAAATAACGGGGCTAGCACTTCAGCCTACCTGTGACAGGAGCATAAATTACTTCTGAGAAGCATGTTAACAGTAACTTCAGTACTTCTGTTCGATTCTGGTCAAACTGGGCGCTTGAGACTGGTTTATTAGCGAAACCAACTCCGGCTTCCCATATCAATTCACATGTTTCAAGAGAAGATAGATCGGTCACTTTATCCTTAATAATGAATGGTACATAAAAGAAGTACCAGTCCAGTTCCACTGCAGTACTGCTGTGCGCCACAAGATCATAAGGGCGCGTTCATACTTTGTTACTGGGGGACTCGGCGATTTGGGAGAGTTGGCGATTCGAAAAATTCGCGCCAGAGGAGTGGATCGGTATCGATCGGCGCCGGTAGTTAGCAAATGCGGAGATTCGGTAATCCAGGGCCAATCGATACCCGCCCGAAAAGCTGAGCCTCCTGAATCGCTCAATCTCCGCAATCGCCAGATCGAGACTTATACTTTCCAAGCTGTCGCCCTCCTCAGTTGCAAACCATGAACGCGGCCTGAACTGCAGCGTGTATAACTTATCACTGCAACCTATATCGGATGTACAAAAAAAGATGATAATTCAACAATATTTACCTTGACGCCTCCAACAGTGAAGCCTGGGCAGAAGAGGAGATCACCAAGAATATCCAAAAGCACTTTTGCCATTGGCGCTTGCCCTTCCGGCTGGAATTTCAATGGAGTGATACAGGAATTATTTTTCATCCTAGCAACCTTTGGAAAAAAAACAGGGGACGCTGCTTGGCTTGGAGGGGGGCATTTTGTACTTCTGCTATCCTTTCGTTAGTTCACGTTAACCAACAGGTCTCATTTTGGTGTGACCTGTAAACTCCTGTGAAGTTGCGAAAGGATGCAAGCGAGTCGCTTTGGACTCGGAACTTTACAGGTATCCATAAGGATGCTGTACAAGCTTCGGCGATTACCATTCGGTGCCCCACCAAACCGAATTGCGCCAAAAATCGTTTCTGAGACAAAAAATAAAATTGAAGTTCGAGCTCACAGTAGGTATGGAGGCCCAATAATATCCTCTCCACTCTGCATCTTCAAACATGTAGGGCATAAGACGAGTTAGCAATCGTATGCAATTGATAACCTACAAATTCGTCGGATCGCTGAGAAAGTATCAGTCTTGCCAAGCGAGAAAATTTATTGAAAAGGGAATTTCTCAATTCAAGGTAAAACATAATTAGGAAGGGGGGGGCTATGTACTAAGGGGGCACATACGGTGGCACCGTGAAATGCGCTCTTCTGCGCCTCCCTCGTACCGAGTAAGCGGTCCTTCCACTTTCTCAGGTCTGAACCCGCGAACAAATCCATTGAAAAAAACAGGCACGGTGTAGCCCCAAACTGCGCTCCTTTTCAGAGTTTCAGTTCATACTTCGTGATCCGATGACTTGGTGCACTTCACGATGCACTGATCGCGAAGTATAAACGCGCTCTCATCAACAGTGGCACCAAAGTAAAAAGCGATTCCCACTCCAATTAAAAAATACACTTTGAAAAAATAAACGGTTATTTAGTCACCTTCCTTTCCGACAATTCGTTCGGATGATCTCTAGCGTATTGCAATTTTTCCAGCGTTTTATAACATAAAGTGGCTAGATTCTTTGGTGAGTCCTCTCTGAATGGATCTCTCTGTGATTACAGTAATCGAAGCCTACAAAATAAAGTAGGATTACCTCAGCTTTCTAATATCATCCGCTGGAATCATAGCAAATACATCATTAACACTATGAACGTTTTCCGGAGACCATAACTGTTCCCAGAAAGCCTCGTCATTCTGGAAATAGTTGTAAAAGGTTATAACATGTGATTAGAAAGTCACTCACTAGTTCCGCAGGAATGCTGAATAGCAGAATAGGGTGCGTATGAACACATAATCGAAAAACAGTACTTACTTAAAATCTGAAATACTCAGCTGTCCTATATAGGCCCCATATGAGCTCATTTTTGATTCGACGCTAACGCTCGTCAGCATCTCCGTATCGCTTTCCCTAATCCAGGCATAGGCTTCTTGCGAGAATTTTCAATGGTCACTCTGGTCGCTGGCGCTCTGAGTTAAGCCTGAGCTTCTTCGAAGGGCTGCAGGCGATGACGGGTGCAACCCCCCCCCCCAAGTAAACTAGACCCGGTAATCATTGAGTTTTTCCTTTTTTGTTCATTGGAACGTATAATCGATGTTTACATCACACAAATTATCAATGTACATCGAAACAAGCATCATAACTAAATAAACAAATAAATGACTAAAAAAAATCCCCCTGAAGCAAGAAGCAGACTATAGTGCCGGGGTTCCTTCAATCACAGTAAAAACGAATCAAACTATATTTCAGCACAATGATGCAAAGCTATGGACAAAAGTCTCCACATCAATAGGCCGTGCTATTTTATAAAGCCTTGTGAAGACTGGGGCAAGTGAATGAAATAGGAAGTGAAATGGTAAGAGAAATGAGGTGAACCCTTCTACAGAGAAGGATCGCGACCCAGTCGCTTGAATCGCGCGAATTGGGCGCGAAGTATGAACGCGCTCACACTGGAGAATCTACCGAGGCAAGGTCCTCATCCTCTGGCTCAAAATCGTTTCCTCCCACCTTCGAAGGTTAGACGGCGCCTGACGTGAAAAGATTTTATGCGAGTGTGAGACTCGCAACAAACCATAGCAAACAGAAATTTACAAATACCGAACCCGTCTAAGATGCTGAACCTCGGCCGGTTCGGATTGATTTCCGGAACGAAATAAGCGGAGATACTCACAACATCTCTTTCAGCCGAATGTTTGGACGATATGTATGTACTAATTACATTCGTGTAGCTTACTCAAAAATATAGAAACCTCCCGACAGAAAAATAAGGTAAATGAAAAAAAACGAAAATGATAAATAATGCAGCGGCAATTAATAAACTGAAGTTCAGCGGGAAAAAGCAACGAAACTGCAATCTAAACATTATAAAACGAAGAACGAAATCGACAAACGTTAACGAACCTGTTTTCCAGGTCTTGATGTGAGATCAATAACAGCTTGCCGGAAATTAAACTTACTGCCCTGAGCCCCCATCTGTAATGAGGTAAATTGCGTTCTCTTTGTGAAGAAAAAAAGAAGTAAAATTAGAGTCACTGTTAATAAGAAAAAGGCAAGAAAATAAAAATTTCAGAAGAACTGCGATGAAGGGTGGCTAATGACGTCATTGCCTCCTCAGGTCCTCAACAGATTTGCCTTTGTACCGTGGTCAGCCACGGTAGGAGCCAGCTTATTTCTTCCGAGTGTTCGGCGATTTTCACTTTTCTTCGAGTTGTGGTTTTACGGGAGTATTTCGCTTTTCCGATAATTTCTATCCTCTCGTGCAGAGAATAACTCCTTGAGTCGTCGTTTATCAAAGATCAGACCGGAATTTGCAGAAACAGTTGAACACTAGTCGTTTAGATAAGATGGGATTGTGCAAATGTCCCAGGAAAAAGGTCACAAATCTCTTCTGTTTCGAGCACAGAGTGAACGTCTGTGAACACTGCTTAGTGGAGAACCACCACGATGTAGGTTCATTTTCCATTTCACTTAAATCCAACGATAGAATAGATGCCTGCCACTTTTTATGCCAGTTTACATTAGAAGTTCTTCCTCCGGGCAGTCCGTCCTAGCCGACCGTTTCCGAGGCATCCCT